TCAAATCAAGAGAATTTTTTTTCATGGCAGTTCAAAAAATCAAAAAATTAATCAGAATTGTTCAATTATATAATCAATCTATAATATCCTATCATATGTTTGCATTCCACACAGAACTGGACCTCTTCCTCCCTCTTTAATGAACTAAGGAAGAAAATAATGACCAACTTGGGCGTCTCACGGTGGAGTCTGTCAACCATCACGTCAGAAGTTTCGAATCAGCTCAGCGATATTGTGAGTAGTTTCAATAAATGTGTGGCTCAAGAGTGTAACAACTTTATTGAACATAATCTGACTGTTTGCAAAATTCTAAACCGCCTCCTTTAGTTACTATGTCAAATATGTTAGCTCAGGCTGCCTGGTAGCATCTGAAACACTTGTATTAACAGACTGAAAACTTTTTGCAGCCCAAAGGAAAAAAAAATATATATATATATATATATATATATATATATATATATATACATATATATATATATATATATATATATATATATATATATATATATTGGAAACCATGTTTTCATTAATCAAACCAGGGAAGTCTTATAGCCACTGAGCATTATAAAAACAAGGAAGAGGTTGAAGCCATAGGTATACATTTATCAGGCGTGTCCAATCTCATCCGCAAAAGGGCCGATGTGGCTGCAGGTTTTCATTCCAAACAAGCAGGGGAAAATCTTTTTGCACTTGTTTAATCAATTGGTCTCAGTCTTCAAACATTTGATCACATGCATGGTTGGAATAAAACATGCTGCCATACTGGCCCTTTGCAGATAAGACTGGACACCCCATACATACATAGATGGGTTCAGCAAGGCATGTCAACGATGCTGCCATTTTGGCCCTGTCAACACCTGCAAGCATCAAATAAATGTAAATCTACACATCAATTCACTTTGATACTGCGTTGTATTCGCTTCCTTATTTAAATTTTGTTGACAAGGACACATCTTGTAAACAAGGACTTTTAGCTAACGTCAATAAAGCAAAAACAAATTATGGCATATCTGTGATGGACAGGCGACCTGTCCAGGGTGTTTCCTGCCTTCTGCCTAATGTGTGCTGGGATAGGGTCCAGCAACCCCCACTACCCAGGAGGATAAGTTCCTTAGATGATGAGGGAGTGAGTGAGTGAGTGAGTGAGTGAAATTTAGGTATTTGTATGAGTATGTGTAACACTCATACACAGATTTGTAATACAGTTGCAGAGTTTAATGACATACAAAAATATCAATAGCAATTAGAGATAAATTGGAGCAGCACAGAACAAAAGAGCAAATCCACATCAAGTTCAAAAAACAGACAGAGTCCAAAAAAACAGAGTAATGGATACATGGAAAAACAGCTCAGAACTGACACAAAGAGTGGCAATACCTCACAAGGAGTGAGAGTCTGTGTATAAGTAGGCTAAGTAATGAGGAAACTTGAATCAGAAGTGTAAAATGGGAAGAGACCAACCATCAGTATTCTGGAGAAGCAGATCTCTGAAAAGTAGTTATCCGTGAGGGCATGATAGAACCCACCTCCCAACGTTCGTCTCCAAGCGCACTACATCCCCAGCTGGTGGGCAGTCCCAAGGTCTCGGAGCAGGTAAATCAGGCTGGTGGTAATGAAAGTCTGTGATGAGGGATGGGTCCAGGATGTCAGTGGCCAGAACCCAACACCGCTCCTCTGGGCCATACCCCTCCCAGTCCAGTAGATAGTGGATGCACCCACCCATGATGGGGGGGGCATTATTCAGTGAAGCAGGGATCACTGGTCTGAAGAGGGAACGTGAAAGCTAGGTGAGACTTTATAATGACGGGGCCACTTGAACCAAAACAAACCGAAGGGTGTTAGACCATTGGAAGTATTATGAAGAGAACACTGTACATATAATGCCCATATAATGGTCTTGACAGTAGTGTTCCAGTGTCACCAATGTTCTGGTGAGGCACTCAACCTGGAGGGTTGAGACCAGGAATGGCTTTGTACCTCCAAGCGGTTGTTTGTCCAGATGCCATTGAGTATGAATTTCTAATACTGATAACACAAAATACTTTGATATGTACTTGATATATAACTACTCTTCACATAGAGAACAATGAATGGTGCTGTTATGAAAAGCTAACACAGCTGTGTTCCAAAGCTGATATATTTTGTTCTCTGTGCATTTTCCCAAAAAAATTTGACACTGGTTGCTCTGGATTACAAGGATGTTAGGAAGTTGAAAAAGTACATTTCTTTGTTTGTCCACTGGTACCTGCTGCATTCTGCCATGTCTTGTAGCATCATAATGTTATTCTGTTTATATTTGTTTGATTTATTCTAAAAAATCATGTTTCTTTTTATCTGAAAAAACTCTTATGTGAAGATTGATTGTTATTCGATATTTGAAATTTCCATCAATGAAATTTCCATTTTTTTTCAATGTCAAAATTTGCATGATGTGTAAAGAATTTTATACATAATGTAAATAAGTTTCCTTCATTACCATTCTTTGTCTTCTCTTTGCTCAGAACTGGAGCACATCCACTTTTGGTAAGGAACAAAGCCCAGGAGTCTCACGTGGGAAGGTTTCCCAGATCCAGTTAGGAGTGCCATATCCAGTCTGCAACCCTGTGAGTAACATTGCACTTGAAAATGATTTAATAGGCAAAAAAAAGGGTTAATTAAGACTTAATAATAAACATAAACAAGTTTTATTTTTTATTAATTATGCTAAGAATCAGAACAAGTAATGTTTTTTTATATCTAAGGATTTGCAGGATTGCTCATTACCTACACCTACAATGCTTATGATCACCACAGAGCATACCCTTTGTGGGACCACTCATTGGAGGGCTGAAAGTAGGACTGGCTTTGTTCTTCCAAGGTGTTGTTCCTTCAGATGCCAATGGGTACGTTCTCATGATACTGGCCAGAGGTGGAAAGTAACAAATTACATTTACTCTTGTTACTGTACTTGAGTACATTTTTCCCTGTAATGGTACTTTTTGGAGTAAGCTTTAATCACAGTACTTCTACTCTCATTTAATTTATAAGGAAACACTTTTACCTTGTTAATTTAATGTTTAATGATGTTAGAGTAACATATATTATGAGCTTATCAGCTTATAAACCAATTAGTAGAAAGCCCAGTTGAATTTAAAAGATTCGCCAATCAAAACACAGCAACTCCCAGCTACAACAACAGTACACAGACCTCCAGTTAGTGGAGGAAGAAAGAACTCTACCAGCACAGACAAGGAACAGACTTTATCCAAATGGTCATCTATATATTTACTTTTAATTTTGACTCAATCAAATCTTTTTTTTTATAAAGCAGACATAATTAAACAAGGAAAAACCATGTACAGCCTTTCAGGGCTTCTAAATTACTTTGTTGGAAACAGATAAACTAGCAAGTCTTATATAATCATCTAACCATGCGGAACATGTAGTTTAAATTTTTCCTCACATATCATGCTTTAGTTTTGCAAAAACAGGTTATCTCCACTGATTTATCCAACTCAGAAACATTTTCAGACTGTGATTGCAGATATACAAACTTGAATACTCAAGTAGTTTTCCAATAAACTACTTATTTACTCTTACTTGAGCAATTTTCTTTATTAAAACTTTTAAAACTTTTTCTCAAGTAAATTATCACTACAGTAACAGTACTTTTACTTAAGTAGGGATTTTCAGTACTCTCTCCACTCCAATACTTGCACAATATACATATATATATATATATATGTATATATATATATATATATATATATATATATATATATATATATATATATATATGCACACATTGAGCCAAAACATTATGACCACTTGCCTAATATGCTGTTAGTTCTCCGTCTGCCTGACTGTAAGGTTTCAGCCGGCGCCGCAGAGGGCCGGGGACATAGCTTCAGGGAACTTCAATTCCCAGAAGCCCGCGGGCTGATTAAGCCCAACGTGACACACCTGCGGACTCCTCTACTTAAGGCCATGGCAAACAGTGGCGTTTGTCACACCTTTGTAGAGGGGTGACTGGTACGGTACTTAGTGTTGCTAAAGAAAAGAAAAGAGGGCTGAGAAAAGAAATTGCCCCAAAACTAAAAAGAAAAGAGGGCTGAGAAAAGAAATTGCCCCCCCCCCAAAAAAAAAGGATTCTTGAGCTACAAACAGCTTGAAAAAATAGAAGCGGTTTTTGCTCCACCAACAGCAAACAACTTAAGCAAAGTCTACCTTCCCTTCGTTCTTGGAGGGGAAGTGTTTTTGTTTTCTCATTATCTTTCGTTTCACCTTTCTAGTTCAGCCTTTGTTTGAGCACGCTGCTTTCAGCGTTTCTTTTGTTTGCCATTCGTCGTTTTCAATTCCAATGTGCACAATCACCAAATTAACACTCCGTTGCCTCAAAAATGTTTGTTGTGACACACTCCTCTCGTAAACACCGTTAAAAAATTCTGATTTGTATCACAGTATCCTTTCTGTCGGTTTGGACCAGACAAGACAGTATTTGTTGCCTTTGCACATCAATGAGCCTTGGGTGCCCGACACTCTGACGTTGTTTTGTCCCTCCTCGAACCTCTGTCAGCAGATACTCCCCTTTGCTGACAAGGAGCACCCCACTAGCCTTGCCATTTCAGAGATGCTCCGACAGCATCTTCTTGGCCATAATGATTAAGTCCTTGTTAGAGCTGCTCAGATCTTCACTTCTGCCCAGTTTACCGCATCAAACACATCGACTACAAGAACTAACTGTTTGCTTACCTTTTGTTTTTGACACAAAATAATTAACCTGATTTGCTTCATCTGTAAGTGTTCACTATTTTTTGGCTCATCAGTGTATATTAAACAGACACTGCATTAAATAGAAAATATGTCTCTTGAGATTTACAATCTGGAACAGCCATTTACAGGAATCTCAAAATATAATTTTTGTTTCAAATATTTTTTTGCGTTGCAGCTTCGCAATAAATCTGAAGACTGGGCAAAGGGACAGAGATGACATTGCATTCCACTTCAACCCCCGTGTTGGGACACCCTCTGTTGTGCGTGACAGCTTCAGAAATGGGCAGTGGGAGAATCCAGAAGAGACCTCAGGGGGTCCATTTGTGAAAGGAGGAGGCTTTGATTTGTTCATGGTTGTTAAACCAGAAGGCTATGAGGTACAGAGCTTGAAGAAGTAAAATAAGTGAATTAACAACATAAGTAAAATAAGTAAATTGTTACACAAACAGTTTTGCTTTATTTCCTTCAGGTAATCGTGAATGGGTACGTTTACTGTATGTTCTGGCACCGTATGCCAGTGGAGAGCGTGTCTGCGCTTCATATCCATGGAGACATTTTCATGACCACCTTTGGCCTCATTGAAGTAAGTAGTTTTTGTTTGTGTACTTTTTGGCAACAGCTCTGGATAAAAGCACATTCATTACATCATCCATTAAAAATAGTGTATATCTATCAATTTTAAAAGTTTCTTTCAACCAGGTGGACAATGTTAATATGAAGGTCACCATGCCTGCCCATATTTGAGGATACTAATCATCTCCATTAAGTTTGTTTTTTCTTTATGGGGTGTTGTACTCAAGTATCAAAATGATCTTGTAGTAGTCCCTGTTCTGTTTTACATAATACACCCATTTAGGTAATTAGGTAATAAGGTTTTAAATAATAATCCAGTGCTTCAGGTGTCTGCTGTTATCAAGCTAAGAGTTAAAGGAACACAAAGTTTTCCTAATTTGATGAAAGATTTCACATCACACAATAACCACCGTCTCTCAGTGTAACTCATGCAGTTGCTTCTGTAGAATTTAAAAAAAGTTGTGCATCTCTTTTCAAATTTTCAAGTATAATGTGAATGTTCTTTGCTTTCTCCAATTGAGATGACTCAAGTTCAGGGACAGGGTATTCTTCCAGGCTTTATGCTTACAATATAGAATGACTCTTACTTCACCTCTCTTTAAGCTAAGCATATCGCTGCTGTCAGAAGAAACCTCATTTCCTTTTTTGTCGTTTATTCAGTTTTTGACAATGTCATGATGAACTGAAAGAAACAGCCCAAAACTATTTGGGGGAAAAAAGTCTGGTTCCATTGACTTACATTAAAAGGAAGTATGTTTTTTCCATGTCCTGTAAAGTTACCATTTTGGAGATACAAGGTTTTTTTTTTCCGACAACAGCGATATGACGTTGTAGTGAAACTTTATACACTAGTTAGGTTTTAATGGTACAGCATATATTTGCAGAAAGATTGTGGTCTCAGGTTATTTTAATTTGTACAAAAAAATATCGTACTAGGTTATCAAGAATCTGCCCTACCGAGACAAGAGTTAAGCCAATTTTCCACCGCATGGTACAGCTTGACTCAACTCCACTTGCTTTTGGTACCAGCTACTTTGTTTTCCACTGCAGATACAGTACACCCTCAATGTAGCTGGTCGCCACTTGAAACTGCCAATACGTGAAGACAAAATGTTGTTCAGAAGAGGCTGATGGCAGCAAGATAAAATACCAGGAGAGTTTGTGAAATACTACATCAGAGTTCAGACAACGAGACAATTCTCGTTGCTCAAAGGTGACACAAGAGTATGCTAACCTGGTTGCTAGCATTTGCATGTGTTTTTAGCAATTCTCTCCAACCAATCATTAGTCGGTAGTTTTTTTTTAGGTCACCTTCTGGTATCAGTTCAGCTCCCTTGGAACCTCAACAGAGGTGGTGCCAAAAATAATACCTGGTATCAGGTACCAGGTGCCAGATCTGCCTAGTGGAAAACCAAAAAAAGCAAGTAGAGTCAAGTCGAGCTGGTACCATGCAGTGAAAAAGAGGCTTTAATTTAACTGTTATGTGATTAACACTGGCAAATTATGGATTTAACAATGTGTTGTGACACATTGCAAAATCACAATGCAAAAATAACAGTAACAGTGCATCACAATGGTTTTATTCAGTGTTGATTTTCTAAATGAAAATAAGTGAACACATCCTCTATAAGGAACTTAAATGACAAATTTTAATGCACAATTTCTATTTGATTACTGAGTTTTGAGGGGTAAAAATTTTTGGGGGAAAAAAAAACCTTTTTCACAGGACATACTTTGTTTCATTTTTCCCAGTATATTAAATTCAGCAAATCAAAGAGTGATTGTGCATTAAAATAGGCAGAAGTGTGCTCCCTGTACAGGATGTAACTTATTTTCACTTAGAAAATCAACAAAACATGTAATTTGACCAGGGTGCCTCAACTTTTGCATCCAACTGTGGTTACAGTTTGCATTTTTCCTTATTCTTCAAATTTTGTTCAAAATATAAAATATTGAATTACAAACACAGTATCAAGAATTGACTTGATTCATGGGCCCAGTGTTTTTGTTGTGCTACTACTGGTAATATTAATTTGTTAATAAATTTGGAGGACATGTAAAGAATATGTTTCATCTAAGAAACCATAGATTTCTTGTCTAAAATCACAGATTTCAGTAGAGAATTTGAATAGAGGTAGAATTCAAGTTTATTTAATTGGCCACATAAACAGTGTATTGCAGATAATGTTTAGTGCACTGGTGTATTGAATTTTTTTTATTTATTTATTTATTTCCATTTGACAGCATACATTTTTTTTAGCTTTGGTATTATTTGCTTTGATTTGTCTTCAACATTGTTTCTTCTGCTTTTTTTTGTTGCCACTTTATGCATTTTGTTGTTATCCTTTTGCTCCTGCTATCCAGATGTAAAAAAGATTCTTGTTGGATGAAGTTCTTTGAATAAAGTTTGACAGAATCACATCAGTGGACTTTCGTGTTTACACTGAAGTGCAGCAACCAGAAGAAAGCTCTTGAAAATGTTCTTCCAGTCTTTAGTAATGCCATCTGAAGGATACTTAGCATCGAGAACTTGCATACACACAATTTTCTGTGAAGAATGTCTATAATAGCTTAACCTTTTGATTATGTCCCTGAAAGTCACATGAATGCATTACATGAAGTCTAGGCAGAGTGGAGGGTGTTGTCTCCCCATCTCCAAAGCCAAAAAGAAACTTTGAAAATGTCACCTCTGGATCCATCTGTATGGTATACCTGTGTGGTTTCCAGAGACACCCATTGTGGAGATACATGCATTCACAGTAGCCAGAACATGTTTTTCAGCATTTTTTGAGCCAAATGCTACAAACTGTTTCTGATCTTCTTGTCAAATTAATAAATGTATACTAATATGAACAGGGGAAGATGTTTTTAGTTGGGGGTGCTAAAAGCAGTATATGCCTGACATGAAAAGAAATAACACTGTTAAGGTAAATACTGCCAATATATGGCTTTACTACATTCAATTTAGTTTCAAGTTCAGATCCTTTATTATTTTTACAAGTTACAGGTAACCAACGCTGAATGAACTAGTACCCCAATATCCTGTGCCCCTGGTGACTAATGCAGATAAAAAACAGTTATGCAGAACTGCAGGTGAGAGCGGGACAAACCGTTTAGGTTGTGGGCAAACGGTGCAAATTTACAGCTGGAGCAGGATAAAGTCTTGTATGAGTGGACAGGAGCAGGACTAAACAAATCACTCCAGTGCAGACCTCTACCTAAAGGCATATCCATGACCATATTTCCAGCTCAAGATTGAAGATTCAGAAGGCAGGTCAAAAATACAATTCAATTTTTTTTTATCACAACTGTCCCGCAAATTCCTCCAGCTAATTCCCGGGGACCACCAGCCACTCCCAGGCCAACTTGGAGATATAGTCCCTCCAGCAGGTCCTAGGATGACCCCGGGGTCTCATGCCAGTAGGCCGTGCCTGGTACAACCCCACCGGGAGGCATCCAAGGGTGCATCCGGATCAGACGCCCGAATCATCTCAACTGGCTCCTCTCAAAGCGGAGGAGTAGCGGATCTACTCCGAGCTCCTCCTGGATGACCAAGCTCCTCACCCTAACAAGTAGAGTGTAGCCCACCACCCTGCAAAGATAGCTCATTTCTGCCACTTTTATTCGTGATCTCATTCTTTCTGTCATTACCCACAGCTCATGACCATAGGTGAGGGTCGGGATCTAGGCCAACCGGTAAACAGAGAGCTTTGACTTCTGGCTCTGCTCCTTCTTCACCACTACAGTCCAGTACAGTGACCGCATTACTGTTGCCGCCTATCCCAGCCTCCAGCCGATCTCACGATCCCTCCTCCCATCACTCCTGAACAAGATCCCAAGATACTTAAACTCCTCCACCTGGGGCAGGTCCTTTCCCCTTACCTGAAGTGGGCATGCCATCCTCTTCTGGGACCATGGACTCCAATCGCTTCACAATCAGCTGCAAACTGCTCCAGTGAGTGCTGGAGGCATCCATGCGATCCAGCCAAAAGAACATCATCATCATCATCATCATCATCATACGAACACAGCTCTCACTCTGGAGAACCTCCTACAGAATATCTCAAGGAACATCGTCGTAAGCCTTTTCCAAGTCTACAAAACGCATGCCCGCTCAACAATCCTTGAGAGGGTGAAAAGCTGGTCAATTGTTCCACAACCAGGACAGAATCTGCATTGTTCCTCCTCAATCTGAGTTCAACTATCAGTCAGAGTCTCCTTTCCAGCACTTTGGCATAGACTTTCCTAGGAAGGCTGAGCAGTGTTATACCCCAGTAGTTGGCACACACCCTCCAGACCACTTTCTTAAAAATAGGGACAACCACCCCAGTCTGCCAATCCAAGGGTACTGTTCCCGAGGTCCATGCAATCATGCAGAGGCGTGTCAGCCACAACAGCCCCACAACATCCAGAGCCTTAAGCATTTCCAGACGAATCTCATCCATCCCCTGTGCCTTGCCATTGAGCAGCATTCCAACTACCTCAGTGACCTTCACCAGGGAAATGGAGTCTGACACACCAGAAGCACCTGGCTCTGACTCCTGAGAGATGCATGTCTCTCGGATTTAGGAGTTCCTCAAAGTGCTCCTTCCACCAACCGACAAAATCCTCATTTGAAGTAAGATTTACTCCACCCCTGCCAAATAGAGCTTGGGCAAAGCCACCCCAACCGCTCCTGAGTCACTGAACAGTTGGCCAGAACCTCCTTGAGGCCAACTGAAAGTCTTTTTCAATGGCCTCACTGAACTCATCCCACGCTCTGGATTTTGCTTCCGCCACCGTTGCCGCTACTACCTTTTTTGCTTGTTGGTACCTATCTGCTGAGTCAGGAGTCCTCTGGGCTGTCCAGTCCCTTTCTTCAGCTTGATGGCCTCCCTCACCACCAATGTCCACCAGGGGGTTCTTGGGTTACCGCCCTGACAGGTACCAACAAGCTTTTGGCCACAGCTACGCCTGGCAGCTTCCACAATGGAGATTTTGAACAGGGTCCATTCAGACTCCATGTCCCCTACCTTCTCCGGGACAAAAGAAAAGCTCTCCTGGAGGTGGGAGTTAAAATCATTCCGAACAGGGGCTCCCGACAGTTGTTCCCAGCACACCCTCACTATTCACTAGGCTTGATGCCTACCAGGTCTGACCATCAGTCTTCCCTGCCTGATCTAACTCACCACCAGATGGTGATCAGTTGACAGCTCAGC